TAGCTAGAAATAAAACGTTTGAAATGATGTGAAATTTTTCTATGCTAGATCTAAAGGAATTGACCACTTCCCCCCCCCAAAATATGAACAGTTTCCACAGTTGGTATCTTTGAAAGTTAAATTAATTTTGGATCTTGGCCAGTTGTTAAAACATAAGAAAAACATGAGTATGCATATAGTTTATGGAGTCCTAAAATTGGGAGAGCCTTCAAGATGAATAACCTGTTTTTTATGTTTTAGATGAGGAAATGGAGTCCTAGATAGACCAAGTGACATATTTAAGGTCACAGATTTATAGAACTAGGATTTGATTATAGACGTCTTTAACCTATACTGTGGGTTTTGAAGTCAGTATTAATGTTAAGCTAAACTCTGGATATCTGCTGTATCACTAAACTATTTTTAAAATAAATATATATATTTGTGTGTGTATCTATCTATATATACATATAATATATACACACAAATATATAACATACTTACATAACATGTCCATATTTTCAAGTTAAGTTTAGGTTTCTTTGTACAGAGTCTTATTTTGTTTTGTTTTTCATTTTGCAGATATAATAGTGAATTATTTTTACTTAAAAATTTTTAAGAATAATAAGAAAAAGAGGGTCAGTGACTTTGCATCTTTGCGTCTTCTACCTATTTTCTAGAATCAGGAAAATGACACCCAAGTTTATGTGTGCAATTGCAAAGTAGTGAACTAATGATAAGTTCTGAGCCAGTCATAGCTCTGGAGACTGAGGCACATCTATAGACTGTTTTCCTAAAGCTCAGTACCCAATATACTCTTCAACCAAATTGTTGTAAAGATACTGGCATCATCTGGAAGACATTGGAGACAAAACATTTTTATTACCTTATACAAGATTATGATGCATTGGGATATTGGCATTATGAAATAGCACCTGAAAATGTACTTCAATTCTGATGGCCACTTCTTTTTTTTTAAATTAAAATTTTTTTGTGTTTGTGATGGCTGGGGTCATGATCACTTCTTAAGAAAAATTAGGCAATTAAACAACCAGGAGAGGTTACTCCAGGAGGAGAAGGAGAGAGTATTCCAGCTTGAAATGAGATTGTGTTCTGGGAAAATTAAAGCCTAATATAATGCGATTTATTTTTTATTATTATTTTTTTCCACTCTCACATAACGTTTTATTTCTCTTTAATAGATCACATGTTCCTCTGTATATATAATGCGATTTAAATAAAGCAATCATTGAGTGGATAGGTACATTTTGAAAATGGGTCTGTTTACCAAATTCAGGGAATACTGCCTGACCAGGGAGTGTTATGAAGTTCATTACATGAATTTAGAAGAGAACAAAGGAAGCACTATGTCTCCCCCCAGAGGGTGGTCAATTTAGGGACCCAGTATCCCAAGTATAAGGTGAAAATGAAGATTTAAAAAAGGTTTACAATAAACGTATGKATGTTTTGTTCATGTGAATTAGAGGAGCTTATCCTTAACTTTTTGTAATTGAAGGAAAACATTTACATCATGTAGTGACTCAAAATATTTGACTGAATAGACCAAGAAGATTGTGATTCAAAGAGAGAAGTCTCATGAGCAAAAAAAAAAAAAATCCTTGTTATATCTCTTCCTTCCTTTCAATATAAAAGAAACTTTTTAGTTGCATAAAAGTAGTGGAAAAATTATATGACTTGAAAGCTTTAGGGTTCATATTGAAGACTATATAAATGCCAACTAATAAGGAGAAAAGGTGAGGCTCAGAAACCTAGCAGAAATTTTGTATAAAGTCTAAATTGAACAATCATAAAAGTGTGAACATATTATTACAATGAAGGCTGTAATATTATGATTTATTAATTATAAAAGTAAAATAAGGTTTCATATACTTTAGAAGTCTACATATAAATTGGTCATCAAAGTTACTTATCAAAAATTAAAATTAAAAGGATAATAAAAATAGTTGTTCTATTTTGAAAATGTTTGAGTCACATCTCTTATGAAACATACCTATTTAATCCCACATGAAGAACCAAGTAGGTAGAAAGGAAACTGAATAAAAAGTTAATTCAAGACCCAAGTATTTAAAATTTCTACAGATTTCTTTCTCATATTTGAAGCATTTTTTTTTAAATTGCAGTGATACAGGATAGATTTTAGATCTTGTTAGCCATATCCATGGACACATAGTCTTCAAAAGCAGTGATCTCCTCCTCCAACTTTATCATTGTCAAGTATGCTCTGGATTTGAAGTTTTAAAATTCCATATCCCACCAGAACTAGTTGAGAGGAGTATAGATAGAGCCTTCTGTTTGAATGCTTCTGATGTGTCCCTCTACTTTTGCTACAGCTGTCTCATCCTCCTGAGGTTTCATGTCGAGTAAAAGTTGCAGGTTGGAAGGAGACCCCTTTCTTGCTCAATTGCCCGAGCAACTAAACATGGGTGTTAGTTCTAATGTCTGATTTTTTTGACCTGCTTTAGAAAAGTGGAACTATCAAATAAGAAATGTAAGTTCCTTTTAGAAAAAGAAAACTGGCCTTTCCTTATTTCCTCATGGTACTGAAAACTTGTGGCCCCTTAACCAAGCCCATGTAGTAATTTTCTGTAGTATAAATAGAYTGGTCTAGAGTATGGGTTAATGTTTTTCCTCCCTTAGTTAGAATATAATTTATTCATTTCACTTTTACCTTATCAAAGGAAATCTTTTAATTGCTTTGAAAATAACTACAGTGTTTAACTTGATAGTTTCTAAGTCATGCTTTTATTGTCTTTCTGATGAACATTCTCTAGACAGCATAGTATTATATTAGCATCCGTTCAACTGATAGTTGCAGTTATATTAACATCTTAGTAGTTTATTATAATAATGAATTAAATCTAGCATATATTGAATGTCTACAGTATGTTAAAGGACTATGGTCTGGTTTAAAACTTATTTTTAGGACAAGCGTATGAATTTTTTATAGTGTTAATAGATCTAATAGTATAATTGTAAATTCACTGGCATGTTGTATAATTGGGTGTTTTCAGTTTCTTATAGGAGCTAATGTAATTGTGCACAGCAAATGTTTGGCAGTTCTTCATATTGCCCGCTAGGTAGATTTGTGCTAGTCTTAACTTCCTTTTCATGATGTATTATCAATTATTATTATCAATACAATAATGTATTATTATTATTAAAATCTAATTTGTAGTATTTTAATTCTTTGGATCAATCTGAGTCTTCTTAGCTGGTAAAATACTATTTTTCACTATACCWCTATTTATAGGTATAGTGGAATGAGTCTAAATGATGTGAGAATTCATTTTTTTAAATCTTGTAGTAAAAAAATAAAATCTTGTAGCAAATTTCCAATTTCTTGCAGCCATCAGAAGGTAGTAAGTATTTATATGTTTATGGTGCTACACAACTCAAATGGTTCTTCTGAGGAATAAATATAAAATATTTAAGGGGAATACTACTGATGTACTTTTGAAAAATTTCATATAGCTGTTAAGCAAATTCTGAATATTGGACAAGTAGCAATAATGATTTAGAAAAATAAAATTTCAGTTAAAAATGTCTTGCTTCCCTCCTCCCCAGGAATGAAAGTAAATATTTTTGTATTAGAAATATGAATTTAAAATCAGAATAAGTATTGCCTATGATATGAAATATTATTATGATTTATCAGGTAGAAATTTAATTAACATTTTTCTTAAAGCAAAACACTCAAGTTATGTATATATTCACCTGAGCAAAATCTAACATCCCTCTCTTTCTTCTCTTTCCCCATTCTTCTCCCTTCTTTTTTTTTAAACTTGAAAGCTATGCTAAAAGTTATAATTTGAGTTTTCTTAAGATTTGGAAATTATTTATTCTGAATGTAAAGAGCATTGAACTCTTCAGGGAACTAAATCAGACCACTATCATCACTATCACTATACTGTTTTGTGCTTACTGAGTGAAATTAATCCATCAGGGAACTGAAATTAGTGATTTAACTTTAAGGTTTATTTCTTCAGGAAATGTGTCTATAATTTTATACCTACAGTACCATAATTCCTGGGATATTTTTTAAAAACTGATAAAATTTTGTGATGAATTTATATATAATAAGCTTCCTACCAAACACATTTCTATCATATGCTATATTAAAACTTATTCTATTGGATGTATTCCATAGAAACTTTAATTAAATTGGTGGTTTTCAATTCTTAGAATTCTAGTAAAATGCTGGGTATAACTATTATATTTCTAATGAAGTTTATAAAAATGGTGGATCCTTGTGAAACTATTGAGCTACCTATCACCCATCACCATGAATTCACAAATTTGTAATTTGACTTAACTCTAGGTTTAATCTTTAGATTTTTTATAGGGATCCAATATTTGTTTTTGATTATTTTGTCAGATAAATCTAGTTTTTAGACTGTTTTCCCTAGAAAAACCTAAAGAATACTCATTTACTTGAATGTCTGTAAGATAATCTGCAAATACAATCAGGGAGAAAGAATATTTGATAGGGACTCAGAGAAACAAATTTTAGCATTTAATTTTGAGAAAAATAATTTTATGTTTACTTGGTAGGAATAAGGATATGCAAGTAACAGTCAAAATGCATTGAAATTCTTGAAGAGTTAATCTATAGAAATGTAAAGAATTATATGATTTTTAAAAATTTCTGACCTTTCTTTCAGGGATTTATTGCATTTATCCATTAATAATTTTTAAGTCCTGTCCTTATAGAAATATAAATAGAAAAATATCACCCTCTCAAGATCATTCAGTTGTAGAACATTTCTGTATTTGGGGACTATAATATATTAAGACATAGGAGGGAAGAACATTTTTTTTTTTGCTCTTGAGATTTATAGGAAAAGAGGGACTAATCTATGGAATGGACCTGAAACAAGACTAATGGGAATTTAAACAATTTCAATAATTAAAAGTACACTGAATCTAATGAGATCTGGCACTTGGTTTTTCTAAAATGCATTATCCACCTCAATTTTGTTTTTCTTCTCCACTTTCCACAGGAAACCAGTTTCCTCCAATTGCAGCACAGGACCTTCCTTTCATCCTGAAGGCTGGCTACCTTGAAAAACGCAGAAAAGGTAGGCTGTAAGAGTATAATGAAAAATCTAAAAATGGTTTCCTCCTTAGATAAAATATAAAGAGAGAATACTGCAGTATACATGCAGTATACATGTGTAGCCAGTATGCTCTTTAAGTAGAAGAGTTTAGGACCATAAGAAAATCTGGATGACATTATCCAAACCATAAAATAACTTTTAGCTTTAAATCATTTTAAATAACAAAACATTAGGTCAGGTTTTTAGTTGTCAGCCTGAGCTGTTTATGAATTATTCAGGCACTCTTTCCCCATCCTCTAGGAAAGCTGTGGGCCCTCACTGCTCCCAAGGACAGGATTTCTCACTGTTAATCATCCTGTTGAGCAGCATTCTGTCCTGCACCCAACCTGGCACACACCAGGACTGGTTCAGATCAAGCCTGGCATCTTGTCTTGCCACTGTTTTTATTCATTTCGGTGTTCCTCTCCATTGGCCATAATAATTGGGAGTTGACCAGATGGTCTCATTCTTTCAACACCAAAGTTTAATGGAAACGAAATATGGAGGTGGTGTTATGATATGGGAAGTGAAGGGCAGAAAGTCTCTTCATTACTGTTCTGCTTATCTCTCGGGTAATCCCTTTGGGCTCTTTTGTTTATATTCTGTTTGCTTTTCTGGGCTTTCTTAGCTGAATTTTAAAGCTGAAAGATTTAATAGAAATAATCTAGGTCAGCTCCTCCTACCATCCTTTTTATAACAGATTAGAAACCAAAATCCAGATGAATCAATTATCTCAAGGCTACACATAGGACACCTTTCTGAAACTCTCTCTGTCAGGGAAGTTTGGTTACCAGGCAGTTGATCACAAGAGTGGCAAGCACCATCTCTGCTTTACTTTATTTCTTTTAGCTTTATTGGGATTTTTTTTTGTCTCTTGGAATAGAGGATACATACTAATTAGTCATAGAATTTTAGAGCTAAAAGCAACCATAGAAGTTATATTAACTATTTTTTCCTTTTACCAGGAGATGGCCTTATATTTGTATGGCATGTGTGTTATCTAAACTATTTTTTCTCCCCTTTTATTGCAGATCACAGCTTTTTGGGATTTGAATGGCAGAAACGGTGGTGTGCTCTCAGCAAAACAGTGTTCTATTATTATGGAAGTGATAAAGGTAGGTTAGTGTTCAGTTATAACAACTTCTATTGCTTGAGGTTTGGGCACCATTTTACTGTCCCCTTACCCTAACTTTTGGGTACAGGATAAACTGAAGATAAATGGAGAAAACACAACAAAGAATTTTTAATAATTATAGTCTAAGAGTAATTTATGATTCTATTTCATTATTTGACAAATGCTATGAATTCCAGATTGCCCTAAAAGTTAACTCAATTGTGTTTCTTTTTTAAAAAAATATTTTTTAATTGTCAATGGACCTTTATTTTTATTTATTTATTTATAGGCAGTGCTGAAAATCAAACCCAGTGCCTCACACATGCTAGGCAAGCACTCTACCACTGAGTTATAACCCCAGCCCCAGTTGTGTTTCTCGAATTAGGAAAGAGTAAATAACTTTCATCCATGTCCTTTCACCTTCAGAAATATTTATCATCCAGGCAACAGTTGTAGAATTTCTGGAAAAACAAAGACCATACAGGTGGTAAAATTATAAAGGCAGGAAAAGAAAATAAAGGAAAAATTCAGATGAAATTAAATGTGCACAACACCTGTCTGGGCTCCCCTTACAGATGGAAATAACAATAGCAAACATGTACACAGGGTTTACTATATTCTGGATCCCGTGTAAGCATTTTAGCTGCCTAAGCATGGCAGCTATATTAATTTGATTGACTTACAACAACTATATGAGGTAGGTACTATTACTAGCCTCATTTATTTTACTGTTAGGAAAACTGAGGATAGATAGGTTAAGTTTTGTTCTAGGTCACATAACTGGTAATAGAATTTGTCTACAACCTAGGTAGTATGGTCAGAGTTCAGGTTCTTAACCACTGTTGTTAACCACTGTATTAATTTACAAATAGTAGGATGCATTTTGTAASTTCATTTGTTGATTAATAAGCCTTTTAGTCATAGTTCATATTGTTTGTTTCTTATTTGAATAAACATAGGCATAAAATAATGAAATTTAAAGAATGTAAATTCTTGGTTTTACTTTTTTTCCTAGGGAAAGCAGGTCAGAAATTGAATATTATAAAGTAAGGGTCACATAGATATTCACTTCTAGAAGGGGCATTTTTAAGAAGAAAAAGGCATAAAGTCCCAGAATCACTAAATGTATTTTTTTCATGAAATTGTTACTTATAAGTATTATTTGGAAATTCATGTTTTATTTGATATAATTTGTGGTTCTAAAGATCTCCCCTTCTTATTAAAATATGCAGACGAGACTATTGTATTTCAGATAGTTTTGAAATACTTATATAATATTAGAAGTTGGTCTCATCTTTTGGCTAATGGAATTAATGAATTAAGCACCTATGGCCAGCTTGTATTCCACCAGTAATCTATAATATGCTCAAATAATGGCATCAGTGAAGTGTAAACCATAAACAACCATAAACAAATAAGCTTTTTTTATAAGTAGGTGGTTTTATCAGAAAACTTAAAGCACAAGTTAAGTTATGATTGTCATAGATTATAAGTTTGTGTTACTATTATAGAAGAATGATTTTTGTACAATATTGTGAATTTAGATCAAGGTCAGCTTTCCACACCAAAAAAAAAAAAAAAAAATCCTCCTTTTCACAAGTCTTGGAGAGAGGTTTCAAATCCTGTGTCTTTGGTTCAATTCGGCTTCTCATTTCTAATTTCTTTAAGAATCAATGAGTAGTACTGTCAGTGTTTCCACCATTTCRAACTGGTATATACCTATATTTAGGTCCAGTTCAGTTAGAACCTTCCTTGAACTCTTGGAATATTTATATTTACTTCAAAGGCTGAAGTTCTATAAAGAAATTCTAATTAGAATTTTTTGGATATTATTTAAATTCTCAGTCCTGTTCTTACTTGTTGAGACCTCCTGAGTCAGTGACATTCTTAGTAATTTGCATTTTAACTACTTTGTGATTCATTTAGTCTCCTCAACCAATTATGATTTTTAAAAATTATCATTTTATGCAAATCAAAGCCATACAAAAATTTCTTCAGTTAGAATGGCTATGATCAAGAATACAAACAATAATAAATGCTGGCGAGGTTGTGAGGGGAAAGGTGCACTTATACATTGTTGGTGGGACTGCAGATTAGTATAACCATTCTGGAAAGCAGTATGGGGGTTCCTCAAAAAACAAGGTATGGAACCACCATATGACCCAGCTATCCCCACCCTTGATATTTTCCCCAAAGATCTAAAATCAGAATACTATAGCAATGTCGATATAGCCATCTCAATATTACTGCAGCCAAATTCACAATAGCTAAATTATGGAATCAACCCAGATGCCAGTCAGTAGATGAATGGATTAAGAAACTGGGGCATATATATATATATATATAAACAGTGGAGTTCTACTCAGCCTTAAAAAGAATGTCATTATGGCATTTGTGGGTAAGTGGAGAATATCATGCTGAATGAGATAAGCCAAACTCAAAAACTCAAAGGTCGAATGATTTCCCTCATATGGGGAAGCTAGAATAAAATAAAGGAAAAGGAAGGGAAGGGTTGAATAATATAAGAATAAAGGGAGGATCAGTAATGTCAAAGAAGGAGATAGAGAGGCAAAGTGGATGGATGGGGAAGAGGAGGCAATGCAGAATGAATTCCTAAAACATCAAGTTACGTGCATATATAAATAAACTACAGAGGACTTCACCTTTATACATAGGTTAAAAAAAACCCATCAAATATAAATAAATAAATGAGCGAAAAGAAGTCTAGTGGAGTAGGGGAAAGAATAAGGGGAAGGGGAGGAAGGATGGGAAGGAAAAGGAGGAGGAATAAGGAGGCAGATCATGAACTGAAAGTGAATTCCATGACTATGTGAGTTTATTCAGGTGAATCCAACTACTATGTATAACTATAAAACTCTAAAAAACTTAGCATTTTACCATTCTTTTTTTCATGTTAGTATTTGAATATCTGGCTTCTATTTCCTCAAATTCTTGCTGTCAGTTACTATAAAGCATCCTGTTTCAAGTGTGATTTCAGTCTGTTTCTTGTGGTTCTTTTCTCCTTTGGCTGCTTCCTTTGGAATTCCAAATTAGTTCCTCTTCTTTAGGCTCTTTGGAAAATATCGGCCTCTAGACATTTTTAATTTGCTTTTTTGCCATGATCCCGATTTCTTTCCTTTACATTATTTTCTTTCCAGGAAATGTGTCAAATATTTTTATCTTCTTTTGTGAAATAAGGTGGCTAATTTGTACAGCTCTGTTTTGTTGTGTGAAGCATTTACCTAAATAGCAAGAGCTATTTAGATATATGAGAACTGTAATCCTCCCACTAAGTAGAATTTAGATAAATGGATTATAGAGGCACAGAAGGAGTTGATACCACTTACTAGGTTAAACTGTACTTTGTTACTGCTTGACAGATATACAGCTCACATTTTCTGCCTTATTGTGTGTGCCAAAAACATATTGACCTATCAAGATGTAATGGCTTAGAAAGAGTAGTTCCATCCTCTAGGGTATATAATGCACTTACCTTTGTACCCGTAAATATTGTCTGTATTTATTATTCATAGCCATTTGGGGCCCTTAAGTAACAAATATATATAGTACATATTTTATTACTTTATGAAATCACATCCATCCTCTCATCTCTTTCCTTTTCCTGTGATTGTAGATCCTAGATATTCAGATTTCCATTCATTCATTCACTTACTCATGAATTCATATTTTTATTCGGTAAACATTTGTGGAATACTCAGTAGATAAAAGGCACTGGGTTGGGGGAGTCTAAAGATCCTTAGAGGTGCTCACAATTATACTTTTTTGGGTATAAGGGAGAAGAAGTAAAAATGTTATGGGATCAGAGGTGGGAACTGGGCAGCTAGACATAATTTCAGTGCARTGCGGTTTAGGAAATAACTAAAATATCTTTGGATTTCAAAGAAGTGAGAGATAACTGTCCAGGAGAGTTAGGGAAGAATTGCTGGTGAAGAGCACATTGTGTTTGGCCTTAAATGATGAATAGGAGCTTGCTGGGTAAATGATATGCTTAGAATATATGTTTCCCTCCAAAATTAACACGTTGGAACCAAACGTACAAGGAGATAGTATTAAGAGATGGGACTTTTAGGAGATGACTAGGCCACAAGGGCTTTACCCATATACATGAGGTAAATCCCTTTATAAAAAAGCCTCTTTTGTCCTTCTGCTTTGTCATGGCTCAATGTTTGTTCCCTCTGGAGGATGCAGCAACAAAGTGCCATCTTAAAGTAGAGAGCAGTCCTCACTGTATGATGATCCTGCTGGTGCCTTGATCTTGAACTTCCCAGAACTTTGAGAAATAAATTTCTGTTGTTCACTAGTTACCTAGTTGTGGGTGTTATAGGAGCACAGATGGACCGAGATAAGGAAGAGAGGGGCACAACATACCAGGCAAGAGAACAGTAGAAGTTCTGGGTTTTGAAAGGCCATGAATGGGATCACTGTTAGGACAAGGCTGGTGGTGTGTGGAGTGAGTGAGGAGAGGGGCCAGGTAATGCTATGCAAGTAAATTATATCAGATTGGTAAGAGCCTGTTGAGAATAGGACTTTCCTAAAGTTTTTGAGTATGGCCTTTAAGCAGAGGGCTATATAGCCAGATTTGTTTTTTAAAAATTAATCATGATAGTATTGTGGAGGATGTATTAGAATGGGAAAAGATGAGATCAACAGGACTATTTAGGAGGACATTTAATTAGTCTAAGCAAGAGAGGTTAACACAGGACTGTTGAGAAGCAGAGATTTAATGCAGATCTCTCTGGCTCTAAAGCTTTGCTTTCTCTACAACTTTGTGATTGTTATCAACCACTCCAAGGTGCCCATAAATGATGGGCAAGTTAGGAGTCTGTTACTTTTTTTCTTTTTCTGTTTACCTTTCATATGATCTTGAATGACCATTATGATATGAACCTTTTCTCTTTTCACTTAAGGAGGGTTGGGATTGGCAGTTCATAGTACCCACCTCTTTTTAGGACATATGCTGCCCTCTCAATTAAAGAATAT